TTACATAAAACTCAACATAAAATGTGTGTAATGCGCCTTTAAAGGTATGACTCAAAGGAAGTGACATAATTTGACTGAGGTGAAGCTGACACTGATCAAGGGTGAGTTCTGTCATTGAATTGTATGATTGTAAGCTTGTTTTTGTATGATTTTTTTGAGGAGGACGAGCTAAAGGGTCAGGCCCTGTCACGGTAAAACATCCCAGAAAATAATGAAAATCTTTTAAATCCAAAACATGTCTAAAAAAGTTACTGAAATTCCTTGATTGCATGTTAACAGTTTTTATGCTAGCAGGCTGAGTAATGGCAGTTTAAAATGGCCGACCGTCAGGCCCCGTCACATCCCTGTGTGTGAGGGCCTGACAGTCCTGTGACACTGCTTTACAAATGAATGGCATTGTTGTTTTTTATTACCTTTATTGCATATAATATGTATTTAATGCATGCCATAGTAAAACATTATTTGAATAAATAGACATTACACGGTAAATCTGAAGCTTTTTATGCTCATCGACAAATTTTTTGAATTGTATCCCTCTTTTACCTAGGCCTATGTTGCACTGCATATTAGTATATTAATTGTATTTCAATACATATGAAGAGTTTATTTGCAAAAACAGATAACTCCATTTGTAACAATTCTCAAAACTCATGTTTTTTCATTGTGCATTCCAATTATTCTCAATCAAACTGCAGTTGGGTTATTTTGATTAGGTTAAAAAATAACAAAAATACAGCTAATTAAAACAATAAAACACAATACAAACATGATAACATAATAAAAGGGGGTCTGAATACTTTCCGTACCCACTGTATATTAGCATGATTTGGACTTGGTTTCATAGTTTGGAGTCGTTTATATGTGTATTTTCTGGCGTTGGGTTTGGTCGGAATAAATAGACGCACCCTTCCAAACTTCTGTTTAGAACTTAATATGTGTTATTTCATCATTTGGATGATTTGGACTTGGTTTCATAGTTTTGGTCAGTCAGAATGTTTCCTCCATTTGAACTCAGAATGGGTTGCATTTCTCCTATAACGCAGCTGTATGGTTATTGTTTGTTTGAAGAAGTAAAGGGAAGCAATTTGTTATCCCAGACAGGATGACGACTAACCTAATTTCAGTTCTTGTCTACTTCAGACATGCACTCCAAATTAAGCGTCCAAAGAAAAAAAAAAGAAAAAAGAAATGGTCATGGTTTTCATGGTAATTGCCATGGGAACAGGACTGGAATTATTTGCACTCAAGTATTTTTTATAAGCCACAAAGATGTCCCGCAAAGATAAATCAGCCCAAACAGCAGCATTTAATATGATCCTGAAGCAGGTAGGAGGACATTTATACAGGTTAATGAAGGTGCGCAGAAACATGTTGTCAGCACTGCCCCGTGACTTTTATTAATAAAATAGCTGAATACTGAATCGCTACATTTTATTTCTCATTAACGAGGAGGTAAAATCGTTGTTTTTCGAAAATATATAAAATCGCAGCTTCATTGAAAAGAGATGCACAGACGCAGGTAATTCACACACAATTGTCATCTCTCTCTCAAAATGCTCAAAATGGCCATATTTGAGAAAAAAGGTCGAGTAATTTGCATCACAGGATATAGCTGTGGATCATTTAACATTTCTATTGTAAAACAGAGGACTAATATTAAAGGGGTCATATGATGCGATTTCAATTTTTCCTTTCTTTTTGGAGTGTTACAAGCTCTTGGTGCATTCCAAGAGCTATACCCAAAATTCTAAATTTGGGTATAGTACAACTTACAGTATATGGGTATAAGTGATGTGTAGCCAAGTATGGTGACCCATACTCTGAATTTGTGCTCTGCATTTAACCCATCCAAGTGCACACACACAGTAGTGAACACACACCCAGAGCAGTGGACAGCCATGTGCTGTGGCACCTGGGGGTTCGGTGCCTTGCTCAAGGGTCTCACCTCAGTCGTGGTATTGAAAGAGGAAGAGAGCGCTGGTTATTCACTCCCCCCACCTACAATTCCGGCCGGACCTGATACTCGAACCCGCAACCTTCGGGATACAAGTCCGACTCACTAACCATCAGGCCACGACTGCTATATAAATCAAATATTTAACAAACAAACAAAAACAAAACAAACAAAAATATCAAACAATATTTTATATTTTACAAATTTCTATTCAATTTAATATTTATATTTTTAACAAATATTTAAATACAATATTAATATAGACTTTTGTTATAGTTTAATTATCTTCACAGACTGTTAAAGACTCCCTCCCTGAATTACTGTCCCACAGCAGTTGTTCCTGTGATGCTCCGACAGCACTGTGCAACCGCAATAATGCTGAACTACTGTACCAGACAGCACAACATTCACAGATTGGCATCTGTAAAGTTCATCCTGTTCATAGCTGAACAGAGCTGGCACAAACCTAGAACAATGGTAAGTTTAAGTGAATTATCAAATCCTTTTAACCCTAAATAGGCCTTGGACAAATTTGGGCAAAATCATTTATTTTTTATTTTTTAAATAAAAATGGTTTCCTTAATCTGAGCGGCAAAAGACATGGTTACTTTTCCTAAGTTTGCCACTTGAACACACAAAAAAAGTTGGACTTGATTCAACAATGTTACGTTTTTGAAAAAGTGGGCAAAAGTGGGGAGCAATTTGTTTTATTTGTCCAATAAAAAATCAATAAATCCAATACAATGCAGATCATACATACACATAAATAAAGAGGTGAGCCTATACAGCATTCTCAATCCAATACAATGCAGATCATACATATAAATGAAGGGGTGAGCCTATACAGCATTCTCAATGTGGCCCACACTCACACACACAAGCATTGAATGAGCCTATAACAGATTTCTTTTTTAATTTTGTCAAATAAAAACAGCAACTCACACATACACAAACAGAATTGAATGAGCCAATAACTCAGCATTTTTTTTTTTTAAATGTGCCAATCAGCCACTGTGCAAAACACACACACACAAAGTCAGATCCTAGTCAAAGTCAAATTCCTACTGCAAGATTTGTTGATGCTTCCAAACAAAACATGTCTGGAACATGCTACTTGCTAGGGTTATTGTTTATCCTTACCTGTTTGGTACCATTTTACTTTTTTGAGTTATTGAAATTTGATAACACAAATGTTTTTTTGTTTTTTTAATTCTACAATTTTAGTTTGAGATAAAATCTAAAACTTAAGAGGTTCAGTTTGTTACAACATTGGTTTAGATTTCAGTCTATGCAGCCAGTGAGTAGTCCTACTACAGCCATCTAGTGGCCATTGATATTTCATGTAATTGCCATTTTTATACCAACATATGTCACCGGATGTCGCCAAAGTATACAAAATTTTGAGGTTTTGTACTTTTATTGAGGTAAAAAAATAATAATTAAAGAATAAGCAAGTTCAAAAATACAAAAAAAAAATATATATATATCACAAAAGAAATGCAAAAATAAATTTTGTTTGACCATTTCTAATTAATGGGGTGGTGGGCTTGTCCCCCTCAATATCTATGGTGGTTACAGCCCTGTTTTATGCATTGCATTGACTTTTTCAATGGCTCGGGGGCAAATCCATTAAAGGGGTCATATGATGCGATTTCAATTTTTCCTTTCTATTTGGAGTGTTACAAGCTCTTGGTGCATAAAGAAGATCTGTAAAGTTGCAAAGACTAAAGTCTCAAATCCAAAGATATATTCTTTATAAAAGTTAAGAGTCAGCCACACCTACCTAAAACGGGTCCAGCCCAGGGTCGTCACATGTGGTTGCTGCAAGCCTCCTTTGTCGAATCCGCCGGCCGCCTCTGCTCACTCAAGGCCGCCGCCGCTCACTCTAGCCCCCGGCCTCTGCTCACTCTAGGCCGCCGCCGCTCACTCTAGGCCACCGTGTCATCATATGACCCCTTTAATGTCTGATAAATCACTGAGATGTTTTAGAAAAGTAAAAATCCTCAATTATATCTTGAGACGTCCATCAAAGAATGTTAATCTCTGGTCACAAATAAGTAGCCATGTTTTGGTTCGTCCATTTGCGTCATCCAATCAGACACAAAATAACACATGCAATTGCTCATCGTTTTAAATGAGTGCAAGAAGTTAAGCTAACACAGGGACAGGAATGTAACCAATGGTCCCAATGAAAAAATTCTACCTCTAGTTCTACATGTCCCCAGTGTTCAGTGTTCCTGCCGAGCTACAGTCCTGACTCCAATAACTTTATTCCCATTTGACTAAATAATGACAAGCTGAGGTCTGATCCACTGGTGGTCTAATGTGATGTAATATGTCTTCGATGTTGCATTAGATCTATAATTGAGGGTTTGATGCGATTAACATTTGTTCTTATTGGCTAGTATTTGATTAAGCTAATGGCCTTTATTAATGGTCAGTGGAGGAAAAGGGTGATGTTTTGAATATGACAGTTCTATCCAGCTCTCTGGCATTTAAATATTGACACGTGTGTGTGTCTGTGTGTGTGTGTGTGTGTGTGTGTGTGTGTGTGTGTGGCGGCTGACCAGTCTGAAGACATTTCCCATATCCACAGCAGCTTGATGGTTGGTCTGTTATTATATAGAGAGGTCTGCTGTCTTCCAGTCTATTTCCGTCTCTGTGTGCCTGTGAAACAGAAATCTTTACCCTTGGACAGTGTATCAAGCTCAGTAAGTCCCTTGAGCATGCCTTGAAGTATAAAAAAACTTCTACTCTCTCTTTTCTATCTCTTTCCACTTTCTGTCTTGGTCTTAGTAGCATCTGAATAATGGTCTTTTATAACCAGAATTTTTTTTCACTCTCTCTTCTTAATGTTCCTTTAAAGAATTTCTTCCATTAATTAATTTACTAATTTATTGATTTTTACTTTCTTTTCAAGCAAAGAGGCTTTACGACACTGCACTTTGAGCCGCAAATACTTAAGCCGTTTGTCGAGCACTTCCTTCCATTAAAAGCGAGTTCTTGTGGTAGTAAGTTGTTTTGATGGACAAACTGCCGGAGTCTGTAGGATTTAAGGCCAAAGTTGAATGCTGACCTGATTTATTGAAAATTGTGGTTTCAAGAATCTGACAAGCACATCAGCTTAATGGTTCTCTTTATGCAAAAACCACTGCATATGTGACAAATAAACTAAAAAAAAACGACAAAACTGAAAAACAACAACAATACTTTAAGACTTTTGCAAAATTAGGCATATGTGTATATTGCATTATACTGGTTTCTTAACAAATGTACATTAGAATAATAATAACAATAGTATTAATAAATATACTCTTTATTTGTAGATGAGGAACCAGGTGATATATATGGATTTTATGATGAATATTCATATTCTTCAGCACTCCGGCGGCCAAAATCCATCCAACCCACGTAATCCCGATCTTTTATCCGGTGGTTAATGCTGTTTGCTCTGTTGTTCATGGAGGAGTTACGACGAACAGAGCCTATGAGAGAAAGAAAGAAATGAATGCAAAATCTCTTAACATCTTAAATATATAACCAGTAGTGACATGGTGAAAAATGTATAGAAGTAGAAACAAGTGGATTTTATATCTATGGATTTAGTTCCATTCACACACTTACAGTATAAATAATTTGTCTGTCAATCATCTCTGGTAGACACTGCTTTCTAACATTTCTTACATAAAACCATTTTCTAGATGGCAAACTATCAATGAAGTTGGCACTGTGCTCAGTTTTTCCTCACCAATTTAAACATAAATCTTACTTAAGCGAGTGATTGATGATGTTAATGGCAAAACAAACGGTTCAGGGCTGCTTCAAAAAGATGTCAATGTGAACTCTTGCCTTTTTTTTTATTTTTTTTTAGATGTGTCAAAAATGGCATTTAAACAGTCAGGATTCTCTTGACTTGCTGTGAATTGTAATAGTAGAGCAGCAGTTATTTTTAATAGTGGTTGGAAAAGAACATGCTACTGTTTGTGGCAGTGTGTAGCCATGTTTGGGCAATGTTTCAGCTACATACAACATGTTAAGTGTCATTCAATCTGTTGTCAAGGGTGGGATAGTGGTTGCAACAGATGGGAGAATTTTAGCACACTTTACATTCTATCTTTTTCTTTGAAATTTGTACAAGTTGTAGACTTGTTGTAACATGCTTACATGTGTAAAGCTTGCACCTCCTACTCACAATTATTAAAAGAGAGAGAGCTAAGCTTAGTTAAAAACTAAGTGCAATGATAAACTAGGACTCTCATTAATGGGATCAGTTAGTTCCCTATGCACACTGAATGCCATTGTTTTCATCACGTACGTGCACATTTGTTGTTCTATCATGGTTCAAACTTTCCAATGACTTTTTTGTTTTTTATACTGGGCTAATTATATTACCTGTCCCCAAAATCTAAATCTAAGTCTTGAAGAAAACCTTTCCACATCTTAGACATTATTTGTCTGTTTATTAAACAATTTTCCTTTTGGAGACCATAAATGCTCCCCATTTTTTAATCGAGGTCCTTATGGGGATATTTATTGGTTGTTATAATGTGTAGAAAACCTGATCCACATACACAAACACACATTACAGGCACTCCTTGTTTACAGTTGAATATTTAATAAAAATATCAGGTCACACTGAGCTTGAATGTTGCAATTCCCTGTTCCTGCGATTAGGAATGATAATAGTTTGATCCCCTTTGAATAGGATACACCCTAATGAGCGGTTATGCAATTTAATGGTGCACACCTGACCCAAAAATATCCACCCCTCGTACACCTCGGGCATAAACACGCTTCACTCGGCTCTGTTTGTGTTTGTCAGTGCCCAGCAACGCCAAACTGCAGCTACTGTATAGTGTGTGACAGGTTTTCCTTTCATTATTCGGAAACCTGTAGTTTCTTGTAATCATTTTACCTGCTTGTTTGTTATTTTACCTTCCTGTTGTTGTTCTCCTAAAAATGAACTTGCTCTAAATGTGTGTAGCACAATCTTTTTTTTTTTTCTTTTTTCTTTTAAAATTGAGTATTTGTGTCTTTATGTGTGTCAAAGAAGAAGATGCCAAATTGCATTTTAGCTTTAGCACTTATATATAAAAAATTAAGCAATTTTTAAAGCAAACCGTTGAGCACATGGCTACTTTTCAAATGAAGGCAAAGATTCACACACAAAGATGTACGTTGAGATGGAAAAATATGCGCAAAAGTCAAACAGACGGAGAGCAGAAGAGATGGAAATAAACAAAGAGAAAGAGCAGAATTAAATGAATCTTGATCAGTTTGTCTGCTTCCTCTCCTTCCAGCTCTTCCTGTTGTCCATATGTGTATGTACTGCAGTATGAGTTAGTTTCACTGTTTTACTCATTCATTGTTTCTCCTGGTTACTGTGCAAAACACAAAGCATTTGCTGAAGCTACTTTTTTTTTGGTTTTCAAGACAATTTATGGTCTTTCTGCCATTGAGGATGGTTCTTCACCATGTGTTTGGTTGTTGAAGTGTCTCTCACCTTTTTTGGAGATAAGTTTGGCCAGCAGTTCGCTGAGGTTGGCATGGGTATCTGGGTCTGTGTTGCCTGCTGGCTGCTGTTTGAGGGTGAGGCTGGTGGAGCGGACGACCCGGTGGTGCCCACTTAAACTGGCGTCCAGCTGCGAGGGGAGAGGGCTGTCATCAGTGTCAGGGGAAGAGGAGCGGGGCAGACCCAAACAGGAGGCAGAAAGCGCAGCCAGGATCACACACATGCACACCCCGCTGTTCATCCTGCAAATGTGAACGAGAGTAGGAACAGAGAGAGAAACGAGCATGTTAAAAGAAATCCTTGTAGCAAGACTCTTTCATTCTTATTTTGCTGCCATACAATTTTATGCTTTTTCTTTTTAAATTGTATTATACTTTTTTTTTTTAATATTGAATGTATGTGCATATTTTTAGTTTTTACTGCCATACAATTTAATTTAAGAAAATACAGTTATTTGATGTAATAAATTAGCTATTGTTTTCAGACTTTTTGTCAACTCCTTGTAAAGGATGAAAGACAGTTTTAAGTCTATATAGATAAAAAAGTATTAAAGTAAATAATTTTTAGAAAGACAGGAAAGTTATCAAGCACTGTTTACAATTATCATCTGTTACTCTAATGTTTGACATTTCTATGTAAATTTCATACAAAAATATTGACAGAATCTTAAATCCTTGAGAGGTTAAAGGATAGATAGATAGATAGATAGATAGATAGATAGGATCTCTTACCTTATTCTGTTTTGTGAGCTTGAAGGAGAATGAAAGTGGGTATTCTCAGAAAGGAGGGAGAGAGGCACTTATATACCCAGCTGTGACGTGCACACACACGCACACACATGCATTCACTCACACACTTACACAGACATGCACGCACATGGAAAGTGTTTAAGCATATAAATAATGTACTTCATGCTATTTTTGCATCTTTTTCTTAGAATAACAGAATTTTTCTACAAAATTGGAAAAATTGCTTTTTTAATTTAAATTATTAAATTTTTATAATTAAACTTTTAATTGTCTTTCATTCTGAATTTGGCGATACTTTAATCCAAACTCAATTACACAGACAAAGACAGTGAGGAAGTCACAGCATAGCAGTTTTAGTAAAAATCTGCAACAACTGAGGGTCAAGTGTCAAGGGGAACAGGAAGCTAATTAAACCCATATCTGGCTGTGTGGTGGTCATCCAAACATGCAATTTGTATTCCATTTCTACGTGTTAGATATGCTGCCCATTTCAGTCCTTGCTGTGTAGGTAAGTGGACACCATCATGGCACCAGCCCCACCTGTACCCTTTGGATGTCCAGGTGTGGGCCAAAGTAGTGTCTTGACAGACTTTATGTAACTCTTTATGTAACTTACAGCTTATATATATA